CAACCAAAAATCGTTGAGGGGAAGTGAAAAACTACATCGTTCTGTTAGGTGTGTGTTGGGTTTGGAGCACCGCAGAGGGCGCAACTCATGCAACCATGTCAGGCTATATACTGTAAAAGGAGTAATTATTCACTGGGTTTTAATTTGGCTTATTTCGCTGACTGAAAAATGCGCTAAATTAAAACCCAGCGAATATGTAAAATTTAGCATAGAACACATTATCTAAATGATAAAACCGTGAATTTAAAACCCATTGAATTTGCCTTAAACGGTAAATCAGCGAAATTTAAACCCCGTGAAAATTAGTCATTTTACAGTATATTATTCTGAAATAGTTTTTTTCTTAAGGTAGAAGCCTACTCATAATTTTTGCGAAAGTTGGTTATAAATCACATTATAATGTTCGTTGGTTTAGTACATGTATGTGCAGTCATTGAGCTACTGTCCCATGGCACCATAAAATAGCATAATTTTTAAAACAGCACCATAGAACACAATGTTGAAAAAAAATTAATTGTTGGTACTTTTTAAAACCCAGATTTTAGAAATAATTCATGACAACAAAAATAACCTTATCATTCACAATATATAATTTTTTTAGCCTATGTCACTAGCCTACAATTTAAGATATACATGTACATATGGTAAAAACATTATAATACTGACAAAATGGCTACTTGGAAATTTGGCCTTTTTTTAGTCAATATCCTTATATTGTGCAGGAGTACAATCTTTTGCAAAATAAATAAACTCAGGTTATTTGCATTTATGAGTAAGCTTTTTCTTAATACATGTACTGTACTACCCTCATATAAATGTCCACACTAAATTTCTAAATCCGTCTGAATGTATAAAAAATATCAAAGCCTCTGTTCATTCTTTTTTTTTCATACAAAAAAGGCAAATTGTAAATGTCTCTATTTTTATTATTTTAGATGTTAAATGTTCAGAAAAAAATGATATTTTTACTGAATTCATGCATGTGGCCTAATTGCTACAATGGAATGGAGTTATTTTTAATGTTTTACTGTGCGAAATATTTTCTGAGAGAAAAACCGCCTAAAAATGACAAAAATAATATTTTCCATAGGATAGTATCATCAGAATTTCCTAATATTTTTTAACAACCATAAGTACCATTACTCGACTTATAAAGTACGAGATTTTTTACATTTTTACCTGAATTTTGAGATACAAGAAGAACCTTCTACCATAAGCCCCCCCAATGATAAATGGCCCAACAATCATCATTTCAATAAATGCTTGTTTTTTATGAAGATTAGTTTGATGACCCTATATTTTTATTTGGGTTTTTTGAACAAAATTTAAAATAAAACCATATTACGTAAACATCAAGGAAGTTCTATCTTTGATTTCAAAAAAACACCAACTGCCCCATATAATGAAAATTTTATTTGAACCCCTCAGCTTCTTGTAGATTTTATATGAACCCCTCAGCTTCTTGTAGATTAACTTACAATGAGAATTTATGCAATTCTAAATAATCCAAAGGGAGGTGTGATATCAGTGGACGAAAGCTGTAAAATCAATGAGAACAAGCCATGCATGGCACAGTCCCCATGAGTTATCCAATTAAAGATATATAGTTTTGTTTATAGTAATATTGCTGGAATATTACCATGTTAGGAATATGATTATGATGATTGTTTAACATTAAAATGATTGACATTTGTATCTGATCGTCAAATGCATCAAATGTATCTGATCGGAACAGCATTAATTAAATGTATCTGATCGGAACAGCATTAATTAAAACAAAATCAGCCATTTTGAATACATGTATACATCTATAACATGATGTATAATGAATATATAAAATTTGAACATAATCAGTCAAAGCATGTAAGAGATACAATGCATGGACGCCAGTCAGCCATTTTGAATCTGATCTGAAAAATAAAATGATGTGCATCAGGAACCCATAATGTATGTAATGTCTAATGTATGTACTAAGTTTGAACGAAATCCATCCATAAATGCTTGATATTTGATGATTTTTTAGCACAAAAATGGCCACTATTCGGCCATTTTGAATAGGGTCATCAAACCAATATACAGTTGTATCTGTATATCTATGACATAATGTATAATGAATATTTAAAATTTGAACATAATCAATTGAGGCAAGTCAGAGATATAGCACTAGAACCACATTTGATAAAACAAAATGGCCACCAGTCAGCCATTTTGAATCTTATCTGAAAAATAAATGATTTGCATCAAGGACCCATAATGTCTAATGTATATACCAAGTTTGAACAGAATCCATCTGTAAACAGCCGAGAAATGCATGATTTTGATGATTTTTCAGCACAAAAATGGCCGCCATTCGGCCATCTTGAATCAGATTGTGAAACAAATTGATGTGCATATGTATAATATTATGTATGATGTATGTGTGAAGATTAATTGTGATTGGTCCAGGCATGTCTAAGATACAGGTCTGACCGGGTCAAATCATAAGTCCCCGTTTTCGGACTGCGTCTGAACAAGGACTAAAAAGTTGGAATGGACATTCTCCTCATACCGTCATACCGCAAATTCCTATGCCGAAACAACTTTCTTCATTCATAAAAGAACAACATGGATTTAAAGAAGAGAGAGAAATGTCAGGTAAGTGTTTCAAATGTTTTGGTAATCTGATTAATGTTTTGTAGAGACCATATACCGGTAGTTTGTGTTATGTAAGAGGTACATGTAGCAATGACGTGACGCAAAAACAGAAACATGAGTCAAATAGGACATTTGTCCTCATCGTGACCCAACACATTCACCCATTTCAACAGGATGTCAATTCCCTTGCGGCTATCATTTAGTAACTGATTTACAAATCATCGACTTTATATTATATCATTTTGTTATTATTTCTCTATTTCATTGAATGCTATAGTTCAATGTTTAGAATGTTAAAACATTTTCTCTTTTTTTTTACGTAGACGATCGATGGAATACATCAGTATATGAACATACCCAGTAAACGGACAGATACATGTAACTAGAAAAAATAGATGTCAGCACTTCAACCGACATCGACCACCATACATAATAAGTGACTGTGATTGTGTATTACGCTGTTGATCGGGGTGACCAGCTACGACAGAAAAGAAATATTTCGTATCTTACTTAAACCTATACGATAAACTTGATAATATGTGGTCCTTATGGCACACTCTTCCTCTAGGAACATGTACATGAATGGCAATTTAGTCAAAGACAAGAAAATTGAATAAGAAATTTGCCTAAGATACATTATCGGCAATCCATGCTAACCAGCAAAACCCTTCATACGTCACCAGGGATATTTATGTATGCAAAGGAGAAGCTAAGAGCCTCATGTTAAAATACATAAAAATAAAATTGGTGTAGATTGAGTTGGAAACCCATTTTTTTAATTTATTTTGTACTTAGTAACATAAAAAATAATAATATTAATGTACCAATAAAATGTTTTTTGGCCAGAAAATAGCAGGAATTTCACAGGCACTTTAAGCCTCTCTCTCGTCTATTTTTATACCATCATGAATACAGTAGGAAATAGTTATGCTGGTGCTGATATCTCCCTTACACCATTTTTAAACCTCTTTACATTGATGTCACATGTTAATTAATACAATTTTTTTTCGTATGTGACTGCAAATTACACCAGCATAAAAGGACACAAAAAACGAACACGATACCCACACAATAATAGACCCTATAAGTGATAAGGGATATGTGCAATTAATCTACCGGTAGTAGAGGGGTACTGGAGGGATATGGTTAGTATTACAGTTTTTTTTTGTTTTTTTTAAATTGTTTTTGTGCTAGGCGACAGATCCAGACTTTTGTGGCTGTTGTTTCTCCTGACTTTTTTGTTGTTGTGAAAATTGCAAGTGCTAGTGCTGCCACATAGTGCAATTTTGCCACAGAAGTCATATTCATGTTTGGGACTACATGAACATGACAGGGCTGTGTGGCCATCTCTCTATCAAATGGCAATTTTAATGCGATATCCTGGCGTCAACCAGGCTCAGTCGAACACAAGCACCTGCTGACCTTAACCAAGGTTCCCCTAAAGTAGCATTCATTTGTGAATGAATCTCAGCCAGTGGAATTGGCCTTCCCATTGAGTCTGTGGCACATTTTGATGTTCAGCCTAAGGTAGGATTTGAACTAGGGTCTACCGGACATGAGTCTGATGTGACAACCACTAGGCTACCAGTGATCAGTAGTATTACAGTTATGGATGAGAGGGACCTAAGAAACTTTTACCCAAAACCCCTCCTTGAATACCTTCCAAATCAAACACTGCTTCTATGATGAGATAATATAAATTACTTTAGTATCACAAGAAAAAATTTCATAGAAACATGTTTAGCAACAGAATTTCAACATACACAATGTAGTTATATTGCTCCATATACCCTATTCTGGACACTATAGTTATCTTGAAGGGGATTATCGTGTACAATTACATTTGAGGTGGGGGGGGGGCTACTTGGTTCGAGTGGGAGGCCTTATAACTCTTTCCGAGTGCTATGATATACAATGTACTAGTAATTGAATTCTCTGACTCTTTTTTCACTTAATTTACCATATATTGTTTGAAAGCCTGGATACAGAGGAACACATTTGAACATAATAGGAAGTCACTAGTTAACACACAGCGTAACTAGACAGAGGTAATACAAGTATTTTTGACTAAATGCCGGAATGGAGGTGCCATTATTCTGTGGCAAGCATTGCATTTCAAAACCTATACTCGCACAGCGTACAATTAGTTGTTTATCTAGAAATCCCACCTAACAAGAGTCGCTCAAAAACAACTGTGTTCGGGTACATACACACGACTGACGTGACAGTCTTATTAGGGATCAATCGTAAAATAAGCGAACGCCTGATCAGTGAACACGCCGTGACCCTGGACCGGACAGTGATCATTTCATACTCTAGTGAGCTCATGATCATGGCGTCTAACTAAACAACGTTGCGATGCTTACCTGCATTGGGAAAGTGGCCGATTTGTTTCCGACGTAACCACTGACAACGTGGCTCTGGATGGATAGTACCCTCTTTTCACACGATGACATTTCGAAGCAGAAAATACAGAAGTTTAAAACGAGCAAACTAATATACCGGTGACCCCGACCCAATGTAAAATATCACGTGAGTAAAGTGACCTTTTAAACAGACCCCCTAACTACATGAATAAGATCAAGTTAGCTGGACACATAGGGTGGTATGTAGACTGGCAAAGTCGGGACTTCTTTTTTGTTCTACAAAAATAAATATAATTAATTGTCTATTTGGCCTTTCTAGCGTGACCGCGAAAGAAATTCCTAGGTGGTATAGTAAATCATGGTTAAGAGAAGCATTTAGTAACCGTGCTAGAAGAATAACCGTGGGTGGATGTACCACACAAGTAAACGCCCACAGACGATTTAGAATTTAGAAAAATAGATTTATTTCGCATATCAGATAAATAGAATGAATGAAGCAATGAATGCAGCTGACTCGGGATTAGCCTGCGTACAGTGCTGTGTGTACGGCGGGGTGTACGGG